AAGACCAATAGTTACATCATATATGACGTATATGTGTGACGTATATACTGACGTCATTGTTATGACGTTCAAAATAACGTCAGATTTAGGTCATAATCACCAATTAGTGACAAAAATCACGTATATTTACGTCATTACAACGTCAGCCAGAGGCGTATTTAACGTCGGTGCAACCGGTGCGATGCACCGACGGGCCCCGGGATCTGCGGGCCCTCGGTGCATGATAAACATTTATAAATTTATAATATTCATAACATTACCTATCGGAGTTGCGAGTGCCGAAGGAAGATGTTGCAAACAAATTTATGTCGGTTAAAGTTCGAAGAGGTGTTCGTTTCTAAATTTGCATACAAATAAAAAATCATTAAAAACTTTTGTCCAATTGCCTTTAATAAATAATAATAACAATAATAATAATAATGATAATAATAATAATAATAATAATAATTATTATTATTATTATTATTAATTAAAGGGCCCTCTCATCTTTGTCCTTGCACCGAAGTTTTACCAGTCTTAAAAACGCGCCTGACGTCAGCTGGTTGCTTGGGACAATTAATTAAATATGTTTTTTGGTCACACATTAAACAGCGATATTTCCGAAAGTGTGTGTGTAAATTTGCAAGCATTTTGCAAGCACTTTTATTATTATGTTTTTTTTTTATGTTACTTTATGAACTTTAACTCAAAAAAAGTCTAATTTAAAGAAAGTATAATTTTAACTTTCACATTTATTTTAACAGTTTTACAGTTGGTACGAATTACATTACAATCAATTGCAATCACTCACAAATAAATCTATGGGTCAAAATCAACTATAGGAAGACGCAATCAAAAAGAAAATGAATTACCTACTTACTATTTACTCGCAATAAATCTTTATCTCAAATTTCAACACCACCATCCGATCTAATCTATCTGGTAATATTTATTCGTTATTATTCTATTTTTAATTTTTCTAAAAAACTCACTACATATATATTGTTTAATGTATTATACTACCGATCAATGATTACGGTAATGTTTGTTTAAAGAAAACAAAACTTACTTTTCAGATAGCAATTTCCAAAAACAAGTATTACGACAATTGCAAATAATTAATCTCACAGACAACTACAAATTACTGAGAAGATCTCAGTGTAATTTATTAACAAAAGGAATTTATATTTCAAAATTATAATTTTCCCTTAAAAGAAATACAGAAGAATCGGAGATGTTGGGAGAATTTTTCAGAATCCAGGACAACAATTTCAAAACTTTTGTACACAAATTTATTTATTACTACATTTTTATTGTATTTACAGTTTGTAAATTTAGTATTAATTTATTATTGCGTTTCAGATTAAAGAATTACCGCAAATCGGAGGAGCATCGTACAAACAAACGTGGTGAAACGCGTACCGACTGAAGAATAATGTCCAATGATTTATCCAAGACATACAAAGTTTGATAGATTTTAAAGAAGAACAAAACTTGGTGCAAGTCTTTTGCAGCGGCTAACAAAGTTTTTTACAAACGCGCGCTATTTCAACGCTATTTCAACGATAGACGAGATCGCGGTGTGCGATCTATAGCAAGAATGTCATATTGTCTAAGTAACCAATTTTTGAAACTCGAACCATCACTTTTCGTCAGGATATATATGGACCGTTTATTTTGAAAGTGGTGTAAGTTTATTTTTGAAAAAAATGAGATCACGTAATTCATAATTCATAATTGACAGATATGTTAACCTATAAGTTTCTCGAAACAAAAGAAAAAATGGATTTACACCACTTTTTTAAATAAACGGTCCATATATTCTCGCCTCGAGCAATGAGATAATCATCTCGGCAGGGGCGACGACAACCATCTTCCACGCGGAGATACCGCGTTGTTACATAAATTAGAAAAAAAATGTCATTCCTCTTTTCGAGGTATTTTGTAAATTTTTAATTTTGTGACGGACACTTGACCATCTCGTGTAAAAAGTTGAAAACGATAATTCAACTTGTACGGTTCGAGAGAGGTCCAAGATATTAAAATGGAATCAATATCTTGGACAATGGTTACGTCGCCGCCGCCGGCGCTGGAAACAAAATCGGTCGAAAGCAATGAATAACATTGCAAGGACGTCGACGCTGACGATGACGAATCCAGTGTCAGCGCGCTTGAGTATTTCTGCGGAGAAACACATACACACAATTGCCGCAGTTGCGTAAGCACGAGCATGTTTCGCGTCCAACCGACGCTGCTTGTCTTCGTCAAGTATAACTTGAGAATGCCATTTGCGTTCAGCATTTTATTGCGCTTCACAAAGCAACGCATCGGTACACGACCAGATTCCTCATTTCGATTCGCTTTCAGAGACCTACAATAATAATAATTTCATTGATTTCATGTTTGTTCTCCAATAAAGATGATTGAGATGACGGGACTTACTACCATACACGCACCTTAACAACAAGTCCCAAATTTTATTCCAGTAAACAGTGGCATCCCGAGTATCTTCCTCGTTAAACATTTTGTTCTCCATTAGTATCGCGGCCAGACAAAACAAGTGATCCAAAACGGACTCGTCTAACGAGGAGGTTGAGAGCGACTTCCGTCAACCGTAGCAACAGAGGCGCAAGATTGTCCGACTTCGATAAGGGGACTGCGGATATTTTCGTCGTAACGTTTTCGTCAAGATTTTCAGCACAGGCCACACTTGTTCGGGGGACTACTTTCCGTCACAAAATCGTCACAATATTCTCTATTCTACCTATTGTACACTCGCGCTTAGGGTTAGGTTAGGTTCCAGAGAGAAACTGCCAAGAAACGAGCTCGCATCAAGGGAGCAAGCAAAATTCATCGCGTTATCCTGGATTTGTTTCACGACTGAAAAATACAAAAATATGTTTACACGTTTTTTTCTGTTACATTGTTTTACCTTTTGTTTTTTTTTGTATTACCAAATTGACAAATTAATACCTTCACTGGCAAATTGAATTGAAAACTGTACCATCGTGTATCTAGCTCGCAGTTCTCTCGAACAAGTGACCACATACTACGCAGAATGTCTTTCCATTTGTACAAGACAGTGGAAGCGAAGTGCTGCAACGTATCTCATCAGAACTTTCAAAATGATAAATCTTCAAGAAAATGTGCAACAATTTGTATTTTTCTAGCGAGTCGGCAAAAGGACGACGTTCCGCCAGCCAGTTGTTCGTCACTTCCTTTTTTCAGGATTTTTGCTGCTTTTTCGTTTGAACTTCGCAGACAATGGTCTAGTTTTCACCGAAGCATTAATTCACACTTAATGCGACGTAGAATCAAATTCAAGTCGATGGAAACCTGTCAAATTGCACTGATTTCACTTCCGCTTTGATCTATAAGTACTCTACTTCTAATGGAAACGGAACACTAAATTTGATCTGTACCGGAGTGAAACCGAATTGAGGATTTCGGTGGAAACTAGACCAATGGGTGCGCGTTCAGACAACTGAACGGTTGAGAGATCATCACTTACGATAAGACTATTCTTCAAAATCTACAGCGGTTCCAAAAGTATGATCCAATAAGAAGTGATTGGATCTCTCAACCATAGTGCAACTGTTGAGTTGTCTGAACGCATCCTATCATTTAACTCGTTACTGGCTGCTTTCCTTTTAGGAGACACAGGTCTAGTTTCCACCGAAGCATTAATTCACATCTAATGCGACGTAGAATCAGATTTAAGTCGATGGAAACCTGCCTCAAATTGAGCTAATTTCGCTTCCGCTTCGATCTATAAGTACTCTACTTCTAATGGAAACGGAACACTAAATTTAATCCGTACCGAAGTGAAACCAAATTGAGGGTTTCGGTGGAAACTAGACCACAGTCGACACAAGAAGTAGTTTTTGATTAAACGCAGGCATGCAAAAGGATTTCGCGAAATTCCGACTTTTAATTTTTCCCATTTAAAAAACTTGGAATTTTTGCAATTCCGGTAACCAAAAATGACGAGATGTGGCAAAATAATTCAGACAAAAGTTGCAGAGATCTGGAGAAGATAAGATTTTTAATTCAAGGTTTTTTGGATAAGTCCCTAGGATCTAGGGAAACGTAAAAATTGCTTGAAACGGCAAATGTGCAATTAGAGAAAAGCCTAAAAGCGGCCATGCCATTGTAGTTTTTTACGACGGTTTCAACTGCTGGTTTTAGCCGTATTTCCACAAAAATGGAACTCAAAAGCCGTTCTACATTAAACGCAAGTATCAGATCTCGTGGAATTGACCAATTGCAGAGTCAAATCAGCCAATCGACCAACGTGATTGATCAGTTCCACGAGACCTGCTCCTTGAGTTTCATGGAGAACGGCCTTTGAGTTCCACTTTTGTGGAAATACGGTTAAAACCAACGGCTGAAACCGTCGTAAAAAATTACAATAGGATGGCCGCCCCAACCCTGGCTAGTACGGTGCCGACCTGAAGCTCAATGTTACGGTGCAGACAATATAGTAGCCTCTCTCTCCAGCTGCTTTGTGCGCATGCGGTGAACATTCAAGCACGCTTGCGCATTTCTCTTTCTCGCGTTCTTTCTCTCATTTTCTAATGCTTTATCTCGCTCGCACTCACTTGGTAGATGCGCCTACGCATAATGACGCTCGACCATCTATGCCCTTATTTGGACTTCGTGCGTCTCCCTTTCTCGGGCCTCGTGTCTCTCATTGCGAAGATACGCGACTAGCCACGGCTGGGCCGCTCTCAGATTTCTCTCTGGTGCAATACATCCCATCTAGGGTTTTCTGGATAAGTTTCTAGGATTTAGGGATTTATGAAAAGAAATGTTACCGGGTTCAGGGGCCGAAGGCCCCTGGATCCTTGGAAAGAAATGCAACCGAATTCAGGGGCCGAAGGTTCCTGGATCCTCGAAAGGAAATGTAACCGGGTTTAGGGGCCGAAGGCCCCTGGATCCTTAGACGCGAACCCAGAAATTGTGCGCACTCGGACGCGGAGCCAGGGTGCAGGAGGCGAAGCCCCCGCTGGGGGTTTAGGGGCAAAGCCCCCAAGAAAAAAGGGGGTGCAGGGGGGGCTCAAGGGGGGCGAGGAGGGGGCGAAGTTTCTCTCCCTACCATAAAGCTACGTTGCAATTGAGAAAAAAAGTGTCCACCAGAAAAAGATGATCGTCGGAAATGACGATCCGCGCGATCACAAGAACTCGAAAGAAAAACCGGAGATAATCGAATATAATGAACTGAAATTTTTATACGCACGGCAGTCTGATACTTACATGTGCACATGTAAGATATGTCTGTCTGTAGATAAATTTTTGGTGCAGCCGCGCCAAGATTTTTCATTAAATATTTTTTATTTTGACAAAAGTTTGCTTTTTTCTTTTTTTTTGTTTTTCGCGGTAAGTAAAGTTTTGCCGAGTCTACTTAGTGTTAGTTTTGCTACAAATCCTCTTGTTAATTTAATAGACCCAGACAATTCTTTCTTTCAAAAGTTTTTCCGTAACGAAAACTTAACAAAGTAGTTATACGTATACTTAGATTAGGGTAATAATGTACAAAAGAGTAACGTACAAAATTTACTTGGTGCTACATTGTGATATCACTTTTTTTTGTAAAACGGGTTTTTNTAAAACGGGTTTTTGGAGAAAGAATGTTTTGTAGTATATAAATGTATCTAATCGCGAGCCCTTTAAAGTTAAAAACTGTAAATTTTAGGAATTTTTGAAATTAATAATAAGTGTAAAATTTAAAAAATTGATTTTGATTGGCCATTTGCTAAATACTTAACGTTGACAAGTAACATGTATATAAATATATGTGTGTAAGTGTGTATTAAATGAAATTATAATGTCTTTGGTATATGGGAGAAACGTATATTGTAAAAGTCTCGTTTAAAAAATTATATAATATTATATGTAGTCACTAAATAAATATAATTTTATTATATTATCATTCTATTATATTATATCTATATATTATTGTGTATACGATTAAATA